CCCCCATCATTCACTATGGTGAGATTTTTTGTTCTGATGATGCCTTACACCTGATCCCTTCGGGTTGAAGCTTCTTATAAGACTCACCAAATGGAAAATATAAACCAAGAACACAAACAGAGCTCAAGGGAAGAAGAGAAGTGGCCCTTGAACTTATAAGGTAAGATTAATGGACAGGAGAAAACAAGGCAAAGTGACCCTTCACCCATCAAATTGGCAAATATTGGCTGATGTTTCTAAAGCAGTGGTGAAACAAGAATGAGAGGTGCGGTTGGTGAGAGTCTAAAGTGTCTCGCATAAAATGTTGAAACTCTTTGGGTTGCTCATCCTATTTCTAGGAATTAGAACTCAGAAATTAATTTTTTAATGAGCACAGTTTATATGAAAGTTATCACTATAGTATTTATAGCAGCAAAGTGTTTTGTATATTAAATTCCCCCAGAGAGAAAGACACTCAACTTACACTATAAGACCCACTGTCCTCGAGTCCGTTCTGTTGGACAATGACTGTAGACAGAAGACTGTACATCTCTAGGGAGCAGACGGCCTCACCCTTCTCCCAGGGAGGCTGCATTCAAACCACCCACCAGCGCACCAGGGTTCTTGGTATTTGCACATCGGTGCATTTCAGCCTGTACATCTATTCCCGCCTCCAAGTTTCTCCCAAGCTAAGAAGGGATCTTGGCAGTCATCTCCAATCCCTTCCTTGACAAGTGCTTGCCACCTCCACTCCGACCCCAAAAGAACGACTTCAAATGATTTAGGGCCGTGCTTCTCAACCTTCCTCATGCCGCGACCCTTTCATACAGTGCCTCGTGTGGTGGTGACTCCCAACCATCACATGATTTTCGTTGCTACTTCATCGCTGTCATTTTGCTACTGTGATGAATCATAATGTAAATATCTGATATGCAGGATGTTATTGGGCAACCCCTGTGAAAGGGATCACGACCCACAGGTTGAGAACCGCTGATTTAGCATGATGGCCTGTGTTGCTAAAACCATCCAAGTAACTGCATTATTGCCTTTTAACCACACATGCACTCACTGTGACCCCCTGTTGCTGACTGTTGCAGCTGTATATGAATGTAGCTCACTTTTCCTAAAAGCCTCCCCCTAAATCCCACTAAAGAAGGCTCACTCACTCACTCACTCACTGCCCCAGAGTCCATGCTGACTCATAGTGACTCCCTGTGGGTTTCTGAGACCGTAACTGTTTCTAGGAGTAGAAAGCCCAGTCTTTCTCCCACAGAGCTGCTGGTGGTTTTAAACTGCCCACCCTGTGGATTGCAGCCCAATGCGTAACCACTGCACCACCAGGGCTCAGTATCCGCTCATTTCATCATAGAGTGCCAAGCAAATTCTCCTGGCTTACCATTTCAACGATCACCGTTATTTTCTTATAAAGGCATTTCTACACGGTAGGTTCTCATTCTCTCGCTGTGGTTAATATAAGGCACTTATTATAGACATAATACAATGTAAGATGGTCCCCGCTGGCCACACATTGGCCATTGCGCACCTAAAACGTGACCAGTACACTGGGGGAATGACTTGTACATCATATTTAATTTAGATTAGTTTAAAGTTTAAGAGGACAATTGTTATTACAAAAATAGGTATGTCTGGAACAACTTAGTACTTGAGAGCTCAATTGCATGCAATCTGATTAGTTAAATATTTCTGATAAAAGCTACTCATGCCGAGGGGACACAATTATTGAAACTTCTTAGGCATCTCCATACACCTACTTCATCAGACTGAATCACTGGGCTTGAAGGCTAAGGGCCATAGTCCCAGGAGAACTCCAGGTCAGTTGCCTAACACAGTCCAGAGATACTGGTCTCGTTTGGTGGGTAGCGTCTGGCCTTAGCAGCTTGCTCACAGCCATCTCGGGTTCCGTGTGGGTCTCGTCCCATCGGGAGCACGAGAGAGTGAAGGAAACCGAAGACTCGGGAAGCAGTGGATCCACAGACACCCCCCCTCCCCAAGAACCACCTCTTCCTCTCGCCTCAGACCAGAACTGGGTGGTGACCAGCCACCACTACCTGCTGCCCTGACCAGGGACACAGTAGAAGGTCCTGGTTTAAAAGGGAGGTGGGGAAATAAGGGTGGGATGGGGGAGTAGAGCAAAGCTCTAAGGTCTTAAAAAAAAAAAGACCAGTGTCACTGAACTGATAGACTGAAGGAGGAGGAGCCCCTTAGACTGTGTATTGTCCCACCACACCCAAAGGATGCCTTTTAGCCAAATAATAGATTGGGCCATCCACTGCATCTCACCAAATGGGCAACATTTGCCCAAAGGCTAAGAAGAGCAGCCCAGGAAGGGCAGGGAAACTGGAAGGATAGAAATGGGGTGGGGAGAGATGGGGAGACTCCTGATAGGTGACCCACTGTCATGGGCAATTTGTATACATACTGTTGGCTGGGAACTTAATTTGCTGTGCAAAGTTTTACCTAAAATGCAATAAAATGTTCAAAATGAAAAAGGCAACATCCAAATGGAGGTGTATCTTGTGTGTAAAAATGCACCTGGACCTCAAAGACTTAGATATGAAAAATGTTGTAAAAGTGAGCATTGATATTTTAAAATACGGATCACGTGACGAAATGTGTTTGGGATTTTTAGGGTCGGTGAACTATATTTCAGATTCCTTTCACCTCATTTGTTTTTATTTTTTAAAATAGCTGCTAGAAAACTAACATGACCCCTGTGCTAGGCGCTCTGTTTCTACTGAGCTCAACCTCCTGGACAATGGGAAGTGGCACACACTCTTCCTTAGAAAGAGGCTGCATCCAGTAGGCCCTTGACCGTGGTCATGAGACGCGCATGCAGCGCGTGATGGTTTGCCGTTCTCCCACCGGCTCTCTCTTGCTTTCATGTGTGCCCCTGGATTTGAGTCTGCTCGGAACTTACGGTTCTCTTCTTTCCTTCAGTTTGCCATCAAAAATCGGTTCAGGCATCGGAGCAAGAAGTTTCCCAAGAGGGAGCACTGGCTGGACTGGGCCACAGAGAAGTACGATGTAAGTGGCGGCGAGCTGGAGCACAGGGTCCCAGGAAGCTCCTTCTAAACGGGAAAAGCCAGGGCCCAAGCACGGTATGAAGGGTACCTGGACCAGAGTCACCCGTGGTTGCCTTCATCACAGTTATTAGCGTTTTAAATAATCGTATGTGGGACCACATCTTGATATTGAGAAGAAGTCGATAAACGATGAGCTTAATCTATGTGGAAACACCTTACCTGTTCGTCGTTTTTCATTCTGCACAAAACCACAGCCAAACCCTTTGGAGTCAATTTTGACCCAGAGCCCCACCCCCATGGACGCCATTCCAGCTCATAATGACCCCACAGGACTGAGTAGAACAGCTCACTAGGCCCCCGTGTCCTCTGGTCTAGCAATTGTACTTCACTGCGATCATGAACTTTAGTTTGAGGGTAGAAGGATACGTGCTTGGGGGTTACTTGGTGAATTCTAGTCATTTCACCTCCTAAATAGATGTGTTAATTAATATTTTTAGTAACGTGCAGACATTGGCTTTTTGAAAGAAGTCAGTGGTCGGGTTCTGGGGACCATTGATCACCTCCCAGTCATCTGGAGATGCCAATATCACTGTACTCCTTGAGAGGCTGAACAGCACATCATAGCTGTGAGCGACATGGAGGTGGCTGATCTCTCTCTTCCTATTGCAGAACCGGCTTATCTCGCAAATTAAGATGGTTACGAAGGTGATGTTCCTCTACATTCCTCTCCCCATGTTCTGGGCACTGTTTGACCAGCAGGTAACGTGAAACTGTGTTTCTGTGCTCCTTCCTTTAGCAAGCAGCCTTGGGCACTACCACACACCACGGAGGGGTAGCATTTATCTCTTTGAGGTGTTAGCTTCAAATGTCCATTTATTTGGCAATTGTTAAATCCTACTTTTTTTTTCTTTCTAAAACACCAGTTCCAGGTGGTTTTGCTCATATTTCTGTTGCAGGGCAATGAAGAAAATAAGGCGTGGTTAAGTAAAATAAGCCTGGGGAAAGATTTGACCAAAGCACGCAGCACTGTTGCCATTCACAATGGAAAGTAGAGCATTTTCCTACTGACATAGCATGGTACCCAGTATATTGCCCTTGGGGGGATCCAGAGAATGTTTGAACTGAGGCGGGGCTGCCGTCTTCTGCTGTCCAACGGGAATGCCCAGCTAGCAGGACTGCCTGGGAGGCAAAAGGACTCCTCTGGAGCCAGACACATGGGAGCCACAAACCAAAACTCAGCCTGCCAGACCTAGGGTTGGGGTCCTGCTACCAGAGCAGTGGGCCGTGTGGCTGAGAATTTCTCCAAAATTGTATTAGCCACTCAACCGATGGTGCTCAGTAGGCAAAGTAAAAGATCTTGTTTCTTTTCTTTTCTTTTATTTTTTTTTAACATTTTATTAGGGGCTCATACAACTGTTATCCCAATCCATACACACATCAATTGTGTAAAGTGCATTTGTACATTCTTGTTTCTTTTAGAGACTGGAATTATTTAAAAATTAAGAGCACACATCTTTTCATTGTGCAGGAACCATTATAATAAGGGTGAACTCTCTTTGAAAAAGTTTAAGCTCTCCTACTCATCTCCTTATTGGTCAGAATGGGATTTAGATGAACGTTTTTAAGGGCCGTGGTGGCAATTTTGCAGAGTGGGTAGGAGCCACGCTTGCACTGCACTAGAAACACATCCCATCACCCAATAGAGCTGTGTGAGTTCAGGTCAAGGATTGCCTGGTTCTGAAAGACTAAGGGCTCACCTCAAGACTGAAGACCAAACTAGAGCAAATGCATCTCAGGTACTCAGGGACTGGCAGACAGCGTGCAAAGAATAGCTTGTTTTTTTTACTTTGTCTTTCTGGTCGTCGGTGGAGTCACGTTGAGATACATATTTCATCCTCCATGGGAATAATCATATGTAATAATTTGGCCCTAGGACATCTTTCATGATAAAACAACCCTAACCAAATCTAATGCCATCAAGTCATTCCATTGCTGGTTTCCGAGGTAGGTTCAATGCGATTAGGCTGTCCAGGTTGACATCCATCACTCTCTTGGTAGAGGTCAATTCTAGGATCTCCTCAGGGCATGTGGCTACCTTCCCCTGGTAGCTGATGGGGCCTGTCTTCCAACCAGCCTTAGAAATGCATTTTCCCATTTCTGAGACAGAGCTTTATCCGACAGAACAACTTGGGGCATTCTTCAGAGGAGCTGGAGTCCTACATATTGTACTCCGTGGTACAGCTGTATTATGAGTTATTAATTTTACCCGGTGTTAGAGCGAAGCCAGGAGACTAATTTGATGTTAAAAAAAAAAAAAGCCAGAGCATTTCATTTCAGACCTCCTTCCTACTTGGGAAAGGACCCACTACTGATTTGTAAAGACATCAAGGTGCACGTTCTCAAATGATGCAGTACCTTCATTTATCTTAAGGGCTCACGATGGACGCTGCAAGCAACAGCCATGAGTGGGAAAATTGTAAGTGTCAGTCATCAAAGTATGTGACCTTTGCTGGTCACCGTTCTTTATTTTAGCCCCTTTGCTCCCTCTCGCCTTCGCTTCATGTCATTTCCATCCCGCTGCCCCCCCACCGTCACCACCACCTGGGAGAGATTATCAATGACTTTTTTTCTCCCCCTTTTTAGGGAATTATTGAAATTCAACCAGATCAGATGCAGGTAGGGGAATATATTTAAGTTGCATTCAGAGGTCAAAATCACCTGTGAGACAAAGGTTAACCTTCTGTCCCCGTCATCTCTAGACCGTGAATGCCATCCTGATCGTCATCATGGTCCCCATTGTGGATGGTGTGGTCTATCCTCTGATTGCCAAGTGTGGTTTCAATTTCAGGTAGGGGACTGGTGGGTTTGGGTTGGTCCTGTGGCTTTGCAAATAGGCTGCTGCTCTCTCAGCTTCTGCTGCCTCAGTGAAAATAATTTTTGTATTCCCTTCCCTAGCATTACCCCTAGGATGGAGTTTTATACCATACCAGAATTCAAGAATGCATTTGACTTAAACAGATGTTTGTGTGATGCTAGCTCTGAAAACTTGACCTTTGGGACATTCAATTAATGATAGCCTCTCAAAGGTTGTTGTTTTTTTTAGTTAAGGTGCCCTGATATATGTAGATGATGTAAATATTAATGCTGAATGCATACTGTCTTAACTTGAGTTTAGAAACCCCAAAACTTAAACTAACTGCCATTGAGTGATTCCAATTCATAGCAGTTTTATTTATGGTTTACAAGGCTATAAAACTTATGGGAATAGGATCATCTCATTTTGCTCACAAGGAGTACCTGGTGGGTTCGAACCACTGACGTTCTGGTTACCAGTCTAATGCATACCCAAAAACACCACCAGGGCTGAGCTTATTGAAAGCAAATGTAAAAATACAAAACAGAGGCTGTTTTTCATTTCTTCTCCTTAGTTATGCACAATAGGGACACATTGGAACCTGTGTATTTTATAGAAAATAACTTTAGGGGATTGCCAAGTCAAGAGTTTGTGTGTGTGTGTGTGAGACTAGTTGAGATTCATTCGCTGTTTGTCTTGAATCAGCTCCTTGAAGAAGATGACTGTAGGAATGTTCCTGGCTTCCATGGCCTTTGTAGTGGCTGCCATTGTACAAGTGGAAATTGATGTGAGTTGTCTTTGAATTCTTGAGCATTCTCTCCTGGTGGGATTAGGTGGAATGTTTCTGAATTCCTCTTTCTCCAGAACGGAAGGGAGTAGGGGCGTCCAGAGTCTTTCCCTATAAACTAAGCCCCGTACCTTTGAGAACTGTGAAGGAATGGAACGTAATACACCTTGTCCTCACCTACCTACCTCATTTATAACCATAGTGAAAAACGTATCCAACCATTTTTCACATTAACAGCATGTATCTAACAGTTATGGACTCCAAGGTGCCAAGCAAAAGTAACGTTGGCTGTTGTGGACAAGATTATGTGTCAACTTGGCATCTTCAGATGGGCGGTTATCTAAGGGTCTAATTTGGCAGATTTGTCATCCTTCATTTTGTAGAATGATCTGACAGGATCAGCCTTCATTTTCATACAACATGCATTTTTGCATAACAACCTGGTCTTTAGAAGCTCACCATGTTGATAGGTGAGGGTGTAATTCCTTTCAGCCAGTATACCTCACAAATTCTTTTCACTGCAAAGTTTGAAACTGGAAGTATGATCAAATTGCAGGGCTTAATTGGGAGAGAAGTTAGGTAACAGTTGCAAAGACTCAGTTTATAATACTGATTTGTTTGTTGTTATTGGTCTTTAGCCGAAGGGACATTTATGGAACTTACTCCTTTGCAATCTAAGTGTCTAGGTAGTGGGTCTGTTTAAAAGACATCCACCACTTAGAAACAAACAACACTTTAAAGGTGTGTAAATTGTTCTAGTGCTTCTACTGCAAATTTGCTCCTACACTGGTCCAGTCTTTTAAACACACACACACAACACAACACCTCACTGCCATCAAGTTGATGCTAGCTCATAGTGAGCCTATAGCAAGGTTGGACTGCCCCTGGGGGTTTCTAAGACTAACTCTACAGGAGCAGGAAGCTTCATCTTTCTCTAACCCAAATTGGGTGAAACTAGAATTACATCACTACGTGTTTGAGATCCGGGTTTAGAAAGGGCATTCTTATCATGTATAAGAAAAGAGGTAAGAGAGTTGTGTTTGTGTGTTTCCTCTTTCTTTTGGGGGGTGGGGGTGCGTAACCAGAGTTGTGGAAAATGCATTGGTGGTTAAAGGTGGCATGGAATGTTCCAGTGGCACTGGGATTCGAAAGGGCATATTATAGGGAAATTGCAAAAGCCCTGAGCAAAGGCAAGTCGAGGCAGGAAGGCATGAACATCTGTGAAAGACTGCAGAGAATTGTGACCAGGACTGAGGACCCGCCTACCAGACTTACTGGGAAGGTGACCGATGTCAGGTGAGAAAGGATTTCAGGTGCCACAACCAGGAGCTGAGCTGAGCAAAGTATCACTCAGCTGCTGGAGTGCTTAAAGACCCACGTCTTTGGGAGTGGTGACAGCTATTGCGACACACAGGCCCTACAGCCAGAACAGCTGTTTTCATAGGTCATGGTGGTGATGTAGCCATAAGGAAGTAAGCTTAGCTTGATAAAATAAGATAACAAAAGAACAGCTCATTCTTTCCTTTCCCCTTATCTGCTTTTCCAGGCTTGGAATATTGTGGTTGGTTCTAGATTCTTCTCTCCTACTCTCAATTTAAAATCCAACTGCAGAAGTCTTATTAAGAGTCCATTTTATTCCCTCAATTGCCCTGTTGCAGACCCTCAATGTTCCGTTAGTGTATCGGTCTCTCTCGGCCCAGCCTTTCCCCTGTTCTTCCACCAGATTAACTTTTCTGAGTAGTTCTGGACATGTTCTTATCATAAACTCAAATTCCCTAATAAAACAAAAACACTCACTGACATCAAGTCAATTCTGACTCATCATGACCCTGCAGGACAGGGTAGGACTGTCCCTATCGGTTTCCAAGACACCGAGTAACTCTTTACAGGAGTAGAAAGTTTCATCTCTCTGGCTTCGAACTTCCAACCTTATAGTTGGCAGCCCAACATGTAACCACTACACCACCAGGTCTCCAGGCCAAAATCTCTAATAGTGCCCTGTTACTGCCTCGCAATAAGAGCTGAACTCCTCAGCCAGGCATTCAAAGGTCTCTTTACCAGGATTTCTCAACCACATACTTAATGGCCTATGTGGTAGAATAACCCTTGGTTGTGGAGACTGTCCTGTGCATTGTCGGATGTCCACACACCAGGTACCGATAGCATCCCTTCCCTTCAGCGGGACAAGCAAACACTACCAAATGTGCGCTGGCAGTCATAATTCTCCTAGTGCTCTGGAGACTGGCCTCGCTAACTTTTCCAGAGTGACCGTCATCACTTCCGTTCATGATGACCAAGCCCACTCTTCTCCATCCGTGTTCCACTTTCTGTCCCTCTGCATGTCTTTGCCCTACTTCAGTGTCTCTCTTTTCTCACTCTAATTTTGCTTTCTTTATTAGATCCCTATACCCCGTAAGGCCCAGTTGAAGAGGCTCCATTTCCTCCCGGGTTCCTACTTGATTCGTCCACTGCAGGCGGAAGATCGTCTCTCTTTCCGTTGAAGCTGCATAGTGCACGATCCGAGCTTTGCCCCTTGCTAGCGCCCCCATCATCACGTTCTACTTCATGTTAGAGTATGGACACACCACACTGCTGTCCCTGATAGCTGGCACCCTGTCTTGTTCACATAGGTGAGCTCCACAACACTTCACGCAGTGGTTTCTGAATGGGTGTGCTATGAAAGCGTAAGGGTGACGTGGAAGCACTGTCAGTCAGCATTGTGAGAATGGAAGTACAGTGAACCCTCGTTTATCGCGGTTAATCGGTTCTAGACCCTACCGTCATAAATGAAATTCCGCGAAGTAGGATTCCTTATTTGTAAATCAAATATTTTCGTAGTTAGAGCATAGAGGACATGAAAAAGCACCCTTTAGTCACCATTACACTCGTATTATCCAATTTATTAAACGAAAAAGGGAAAATACAGTAAAACATTTTGGACGTTACAATTATCATTTATTATTTATTATATTATTTATGGCATCAAGCATGTACCGTATGAGCCAATCAGTGGCAGTCATGACAGAGCATGCGCTGTTACGCAAAAACCGCAATAGAGTGAAGCCGCGGAAGTCAAAGCGCAAAGTGGCGAGGGTTCACTGTACTGGCAACCGCTCCTGCTTTGGGTGGCTTGGGAAAGCTCCCTCCCCTTTATTGTCGTGGTCGTACCCCTGCCTGGAGCAGACGGACAACCTGAGAGCAAAGTGTGCTGACTGTAGGGTCTTGGGTGACGTAGGTTGTGGAACCCCAGGAGTTCAAGCATGGGAAGGGCACATTGTAAACTATACCACAAAGATGGAGAAGCTGGCTATTAAGTTCTCCGATGTACACAGGCAGACCTCATTTTATAATGCTTCACACGTTACAGGACCTGGGTTTTTTGTTTGGGGTTTTGTTTTTATGTTTCTTTTTAAAATGTTATCATTTTAATGGGGGCTTGTACAACTCTTATCACAATTCATCCATCCATCCATTGTGTCAAGCACATTTGTACATATGTTGCCATCATCATTCTCCAAACATATTCTTTCTACTTGAGCCCTTGGTAGCAGCTCCTTATTTTGTTCTCCTCCCTCATTCACCCTCCCTCCTCATGAACCCTTGATAATTTATTAATTATTATTATTTTGTCATGTCTTACACTGGCCGATGTCTCCTCTCACCCACTTTTCTGGCATCTGTCCCCCAGGGATGGGGTTAGATGTAGGTCCTTGTGATCTGTCCCCCGCCCCCAGGTCCTGTGTTCTGTACAGCCCTGCACAGAGCAGCTCTGTTGGTGCCATTTTCCCGACAGCGTGCGCTTGCTTCTGTGTTACATTTTAGTCATCCTCACGATCTTTCAAGCTCTTTTTTCAGTGCTGTTCTGCATGTCGTAGAATGCAGTATAGTGTAAGCAGAACTTCTATATGCCCTGGGGAACCAGAAACTTTGTGCAATTCTCTTTATTTTGGGTGGTCTGGGACTGAGCCTACAACATGACAGAAGTACGATGGTGTGTATTTGGAAAGCCAGAGCAAGGCGAGTCTGTTGTGATGCAGGTAGAGCTGCTGGGTGAGGTTGTGGTGGTTCCTGTTTTAGTTTACTCCCTGGAGCATCACCCCATTTCTTTAAACTTTATCTTGTACTTCTCTTTCCAATGTCTCTCACTTCCAGGGTCCCAGGAAGGTCTTCCTTCGCCCTTCAAGGTCTAGCTCATGAAAAGACGCCCTTTTGTTTCCTTCGCTGACTCGTTGGAAAACAGCTTCCAAGTGTTATAGATGACCAGACCCTCATTGTGTGGGGTGTCCCAAGACTACACCTTAGTTCAGCGATTCACTAGGTGGACGCCCAGCACTCAGCTGGTGGCCATGACCATGCTTGTGATTTATACACCAAATGCCAAGCAAATCACAGAAGGGAAAAGCAACTGGGGGGATGCCTTGGACCAGGTTCCAAGGGTCCTCTCCCGTTGGAATCATGTAGGACACGCGGAATTCCTCCAGCATCAAATTGCATCAACACATGTACAGTGTGGTCTACCAGAGAAGCCTGAGGTTGCTATTGGGAGTCAGGTCTCACAGGGACCCTCTGACAGGCACATGCCACAATTCCAGGCTCTCAGAATCAAAACAAGTGTTCCACTTAAGTCATTTTGGGCATACAAGCAGATTAAGTTCAGTGAGCAATTCTTAGCAGTTCTGGAAATGGTGGGAACACTCCCTAAATCCAGGTCCTCAGGGACCAGACAAGGGTTAGCCTTGCAAGAGTCCTGTCTGAAGATAGCTGTCTTGGGCTTGCTATATCAATTTTTTTTCCTATACACTTATGGTGAATGCTTATAATTTTAACATCAGTAAGCATTGAATCAGTCTACGGTTACTCTTGCCCACTTCGATACTCATTTACTGCCATTTGAGTTGATTCCAACTCACTGTGACCCTGTAGGACAGAGGAGAACTGTCCTATGGGTTTCCCAGACGGTAATTAATGCTTTACAGGAGTAGAAAGCCTTGGTTTTCTCCTGAGGAGAGGCTGGTGGTTTTGAACTGCTGACCTTTTGGTTAGCAACCCAACTCGTAGCCCATCAGGCTTTATCATCGGTCATCCTTCTACCAGGATGTAGCTAGGTAGGATCATGTACCACCTCTTGTGATTATGTCCAAATACAATTTTCTGTGGCTCCCATGAGGTGAATGATTGGTAAATACCACTCGTTGATGTTTCCTTCGTAAGGAAAGTTTGGTTGGTCTCAGCCAACACAAGTGTTCGTGGCTAGTTGAACAGTTAGACCAATGCCAGCATCAAGGTGATCTTCAATGTGGTGCTGAATAACTCACTGTCGGTGTTTACTTATTTTGCTCAGAAAACTCTGCCAGTCTTCCCCCAAGGACATGAAATCCAACTTCAGGTATTGAATATAGGAAATAATGACATGAACGTATCATTTTCTGGAGAAAGCGCAGTATTTAGCCCATTGACTAAGGTAAGTAGAATGACTTTCTATTTTGTCTTCTGATCTGATTTAAAATAAGATTTCAGAAGAGTTGTTCTTCTTGGTTCTTGTACAAATCTCACGCTCAGCCCAGAACGAAATGTCTCAGAATGGTGATCTGATTTTATCTTCGCTCTAGACCAATCAAAATACAAACAAAAAACCCAATGCCATCAAGTCCATTTCCGCTCACAGTGACCCCAGAAGATGGAGTAGAACTACCCCATAGGGTGTCCAAGGATGCGAACCTTTATGTGACTAGACTGCCACACTGTCCCACAGAGCAGCTGGTGGGCTTGAACCACCAACCTTTTTGTTAGTGGCCCAACTCTTAACCCACTGCACGACCAGAGTGCCTTCTCTCTACCAGTGTGCCTTGATATGCATTTGAGTCACCTGGGGAACTTGTTAAAACACAGTTTCTTAATGTGAGGCTCTGAAACTGTTGTTAACAAGTTCTCAAGTACTACTGCTGCTGCAGCCTAAGGAGCATCTCTTTAGGATCATTGGTCACTCTCAACTGGAGGTGATTTCCACTCCCACCCCCATCAGGAAACATTTGTTAATTTTGGCCGACACTTTGGTTTTCACAACAGGACTGTTCTATTGACACCTTGGATGCTACTGAACAACATACAGTGCACAGGACAGTCCACCACAGAGAATTCTCTCACGGTCATTGTGGGTTTCTGAGACTGTAACTGTGTAAGGGGTGGAAAGCCCAGTCTAGTGGTTTTGAACTGCTGACCATGTGGATCACAGGCCAACTTGTAACCACCACACCACACCAGTCCCAAAATGTCAATAGTGCTACAGTTAGGTTGAAAAATCCTAGACTAGGTGATCCTTGGTCATGATCACTAGGGCATATTGGAATCACCTGAAGAGTTTTAACAATTCTAGGACCCGACGTTGGAGATTTTTATTTAGTTGGTCTCATTCCTGTTCAGCCATGATTGAGAACCTTAGATCTTGCCAAATTAAAAACCTTGAAAGAAAAAGCAGAAAAAGACACTTTGCTTCCTGAGATGTGGGGCAGCCAGTATTCGTTTTCACCAGACTGTTGCTTTCCTTGGAGGCTGTTCCTTGCCTAAAGTTTGAAAAACTGTCCCCAAAATTTACCGTGAGAAAACAAAGTCAATGTAAACTGCATGATGAAAAGTGTCATTTCTGTGGCACTTCTGAAACACATCATCTCAAAGTTCTTAATGCTGAATTGGAGGGTTTGGCAAACAGATGCAACTCTCTCATTTCCCACCCCCACGCACATTTCCCGATGTCTTTGAACATGAGTTTGGGGTGTTAAACAATGTGCCACTGTGCAGAAAGACTCCAAAGAAACTTATCTCATATTAACTATGACTCTTTTCCCCCCTTGCCTACAGAAAAGCGAATTCAGGACTTTTAATATAGACACACTGCCAAATATAAGCATTGTCTCTAAAGGGCTTCAAGACACTCCAGTAATTCATACCTTTGAGCCCAGCCATCGCTACACCCTTCTGGTGTGGGACCCGAACTCTTACCGAGTGGTAAGTAGTTGAACACCTACAACGGATGCTACTGTTTGTGATGTTGATGACAGAGTTGCTTTGTGACATGATTTTGTCTTACCCCCTGCAGTAGTTGTTTAGATAATCATACATACCTGCCTTCTTCAAGAAACAAGCCATTTAACCTCCCAGGAAAAACTTGACTGTTGGTTGGTAAGGAAGGGGGCTATATCAGTCATAATTTCTACTGAGAGATTGGAAAATCAGAGCAGTTGCTGAGAAAAATATGAGTATATTGGGTGAAAGCAATATAGATACATTTAACATAAGGTCTTATGACAAAATGCAGAAGACTAGGTAGATGTGCCATAAACTGAGACTTTGGGCATCTAAAGAAGTTATAAAATATATCTAAAATTGTGGAAAGTAGATTTAAATTATTTCCTACAGAAGTCTTATATGGGCCTGCCTTTAATTAGGGACCTGCTGAGTGGCATCTAAAGTCTTAGAAGCTCATGTTACCCTCAAGGAAGCCCATGATTAAAGAAACAGAGCCCTTCAATGTAATCATGATGTCCTAAGAGACTACAATAGATATGAACCTCGCTCTCTCCTTTGTAAAAGCTGAAATGTTTGTCTGAATTTATTCTAAATAATCTGGTTTTGCAAATGGTTTTTATATTACTGTTTTCTCTCTTAGGTAAAGGATGGCCTTACTAAGAAACCAGAGAAAGGAGAAAATGGAATCAGGTATATATTTCTTTAAAACTTGAGTTAAAGTAGTAGCTTATGGAAGTAATGCATACCCATAAAAAAAGAAAGAAAACTCACTTTTACCAGCTAGGTTTTGATTTCTAGAAACCCTATAAGGACAGAGTAGAAGCGCCCCCTGCGCTTCTGAGGCTGCACATATTCACAGGAGCAGAGAGCCTCAGGTTTCTCTGGGAGCACAGCTGGTGGGCTCATGACCCATATGCCCCCAGGGTTCCTTATGCACACGCACAGTAGAGTTTCTGAGATTGCAAATATTTATGGGAGCAGACAGCTTTATCTCTTTCCCATAGGGCTGCAGGTGAGTTTCAACTGCAAACCTTGCAATTAGCAGCTCAGGCTTAACCAACTATGCCACCTCAGCTGTGCTTACTAGTAAAAGTTTGACTTCTTACCCCTAAAACTGGAAAAGATAAGGTTTCTCACTCACCCCATTCCTATTCAGAATACTTCTGAAAAAAACCTAGCCACTAAAATAGACGAGCAAAAGAAGTAAAAAGCATTCCAATTGGAAAGGAAGAATTACAATCCCTACTCAAAAATGACATCACTGTCTGCATATAAAGAATCTGTCTGAAAAATCTAGCCACTAAAATAGACATCGTGTATCGTGGTGGGGCCGGCCCTGTGGTCCTCTCTGTACACTGTCTGTGCCCACTGGGTTTGCCTCCTGCAGGATCCTTTGAAGACAAATGGCCCACTTGGTTTCATGCAAAGCTTAGGCACAGGGAACCCTGCTAAGACTGCCAGCCTTGGCCTGATGGCCTTATGGGGTGTTCCGTTCTAAGCTACATTGCAGCAAAAGGGATGCGGCTTACTCTTGTTCTAGAACCTGCACACACAGGTCTCTACCTCCTTAGAGAAGTTACTCAGAACTCTCTCTCACTGCTAGGTTAGCCTACTCCTTCCTCACCCATCCTTGGTGCTCTCACCTCCCCCAGGTCAGAGAAGGAAAGGGAAGTGACAGTCTTTCCTCCCATCCCCACTGCAAGCTCTGGCTGGGGACTGTCTTTAGGTACAAAGCCACCTCCTCTGGGTCCTGCACAACTTTAGCTCTAAAACCTCTGAAGAAGAAACTCAAAGGCTTGGCTGCCTTCCTGAAGGGGAAGGGACCCATCAATATAGATTTCAACCCCCACCTAGAACTCCAAAATATGGAACTAGTTAGGAGTTACAAAGAACTCAGGACAGCATCTGGCCTAGATCCATGTTGATTTTAATAAATTCCATTAAGCATGCACTTATGAGCAAGGAAGCAAAAGCAAGCCTAGGGTTGCTACCAGAGATTTTCTGCAAGCCTCATTAAGTTACCTGCAGAAAGAGAACATTGCCCAAGGTCAAGCTGCACAACCTGGATAATGCTGAGGTTCAATTGTAAGATGCATGGTTTTCTCTTTCAGATTTGTCAATACTTTCAATGATAACATCACCGTTGTGATGGATGGGAAAGTTTATAATAATATCAATACTAATAATGCCAGCGAATATCAGTTTTTTCCTTCTGGCGTGTAAGTATCCTCACTGGACACCTTGCTCCAAAGTTCAAGGATATCAAGTCTCTTTCTTTAAAGCCATACATCCAAGTTGTTACTTCCAAGAGTGTTAACCTATATTATCCTTTCTTTTCATAGAAAAAACATCAACATAAGCTCATCAGCTATTCCGCCAACCTGTACAAAGGAGTTTTCATCTTCCAGCCTTGAATTTGGCAGTGCATATACCTACATAATTGTGAGGCAGGTTAGTAATTCTTAGCACTGAATCAAAGATTATACTCAAACTTTATTGATCTAGATCCTTATAAATGTTTAGGATTTAGTAATGACATAATCAGAGTAATATTAGGATAAGCATTTTAAATGGACTTAGAACCATTTACTCCTCACTGTATTTATCATTGATTTAAGTTAACCATTGGAATAAAATTAAACACATTGACTTACTCTGGCTAAGATACGTCCTTATAAACTATCATCACGGAGGCTAGGAACTTGTAGTGCAAAGAGATGGCAGTGGTTTAAATAAAGATGACTTCTAAGCTACTCTCCTATTTAAGAGGAAAACAATACTCTATTTTCAATTCCCACGAAGGCTACTCCATCTTAAGTACAAAATATAGCATTAAAAATTTACTTGTAAAATGTCTACTTACTTAACAAATCTTATGGCTTAACTCTAGAAGGTAAAACTCAATTTCCCTATATGAACTTTTTAAAAAAATAAAAGAAATCTTGACTTTGATTCTTCCCCTCCACACCCCACCCTTTTTAAAAACCGTTTTAAGCAGTTTAAACAGCTTCATCCACATATCATACAATTTAATAGATCAACCATATCAAGAAGAGTTGTACAACCATTACAAAAATAAATTTTAGAACATTTTATTTTTCCCCCTGACTCATTGTTATTCATTTAATTTTTTCTTTTCAATTTTGGCAAAAATAGACACACCGAAACATCCACCAATTCAACAACTTCCACGTGTATAATTCAGTGCCTATACTCTTTGTGTTGTACAATCATTATTGCTATCCCTCTCCAAGTTGTTCCACCACCATTAAATGAACTCAGTGCCCCTAAGCCCAGCAAACACTTTTCCTCCTTCAGCCATGGTAACCGTAGGTCAAGTCTGGCTACTTTCTTTCTTTCTTTTAGTAGTTTTCTTGCTGTAATATTAAAATATCATACGAGTTGAACCGCTTCTCAAAAGAGTTGTCTATACATCAGCACAATTGGCTCTTAACGCTCCCTCCCCGCTCTTCGTCCCTTTTGGCCTTGTTTTAGAGTGATGGCTGCCCCAAGATAGAAGAAGTTGAAGACATTGCACCCAACACGGTGAACATGGCTCTGCAGATCCCCCAGTACTTCCTTCTCACGTGTGGAGAAGTAGTCTTCTCGGTCACCGGACTGGAATTCTCGTATTCACAGGTGCTTTGTCAATTTAATTTGTATTACCCCACCCCTGCTGAACCTATCTGTGTGGGAAGAAATCCAACCAGAATGCTCCGTAGAAGCAAGGATGGTGAAACTTCAAATCACGTGCTTTGGCATGTGTTTAGGAGGGACACGTCCTTAGAGAAGGACATCATGCTTGCTCAGGTAGAGGGTCAGTGAAGAGCAGGAGACCCTCCATGTGAAAGATTGACACAGTGGCCGCCATGATGTGCTTACACATGGGGATGGGTGTGAGGATGGGGCAGGACTGGGCAGTGTTTTGTTCTCTTACACACGGGGTCACTATGAGTCAGAACTGACTCAATAGTACATGACAATAACAACCCCCACACAACGACAACAATATTCCAGCCTTAAAAAAAAAAAATGCTTGTTGTTAGTTGCCAGTCTACAACTAACTGGTTATTTATTTATTTAAATAATTTTATTGGGAGCTCTTACCAATAGCCCAACATTCCATAGTTCAATCCCACCCAGCAGTATTCTACCATTGCTACCACAGTCCGTTTCAAGACATTTTCTTTCTTCTTGAACTTCTTGATATCAGCCCCCCCTTTATCCCTTCCTTCCACACCTCCCCCTGGGGAACCCTTATTTATTTATTGTGGCTTCTTACACCATCCAATATATCCATTCACATATAATTCTGTTCTCTGCTCCCCTTGATTGGGGTCATACTAACTGGTAGTTAATTTAATCTCATATAGCCATATGTTCATACAAGGTTTTAAAAATTCTAGGGGAAGAAAAAGAGTATTTTCTATAGAACAGGGTCCTTGAGATCACTGTCTTGTCTTTACAGCAGCATGGATGTATACACACCACATGCACGTGCATGTATTCTCACTGTTACATGATAGAAATTCAAGCACCAAACCTAGGTAGAAAAAACTGTATTAGTGACTGCTATCCAGATCGTGATTAGGAGCCCTGGTGGTACAGTGGTTATGCATTGGGCTGTGATCCACATAGTCAGCAGTTCGAAACCACCAACAGCTCCTCCAGAGAAAGACTGGACTTCCATAAACAGTTACAATCTTAGAAACCCACCAGGGGCTTGCAATGAGTCAGCATTGACTCAATGGCAGTGAACTTTAAGGTTATCCTGGTCATAATAGCCAGTAGAGTCTACATTCTGAAACAACCGAAGGATATCAACTATTCATAACAGTGTTCGTCTGCAGGTTTCTGTCCTCATGTTTCCATTGAAGTTGTTTTGTAGCTCCCAGGAAATATGTGGAATACATCCTGACTTTGAAACAAGATAAAACAAGTTTAGAAGAAAAGTAGTTCATTAATTAGCACTAGGCTAACGAGACAAATTTTGCTGGTGCCTGAATTGCTTCATTTCTGAACCATTTCATCAAAACCACAGTTACAGTCACTATAGTCAAGCAGCAGTTCGATTGCCTAGCACCTCTGAGATGTGTCGTGTCAGCAGGCGATGTGAGTTCAGTCACCCCTTTCTGCAATGAGCTGTCTCACGCTCAGTGGGGACTGTCATTTAGGCGACAAGAACATGAAGAGAGGTTGGGATGAAATGACAGGGGAGCTCACAGAACAGCAAGCTTGCTGCAGAGATCAGCTTCTGTTTGAAGGGGGGGAAATGTTGTATGGGATGACTCTGCTTGGGAACTCGCCTCTCGAAGAGGAATTGGTCCCTAGGTAGATTTGTCAACCAGCCAAGATACCAGCTTTGCAGATGCACGTTGAAAAGTTGTGTACGCTGATACAGCATCCGTGTTTGGGCGTCTGGCTCCCTGTGTGCTTATCCTTTGTATCAGCCTGACTCCCCAAAGGCATTTCAGCATTTGGCTGCTGCATGAAAGGAACCTTCAAGTGTGTTCTCCTGCTCTGCGGTTGCCTCGGGTTCAAATTCCCTGTGCGTTGTGTCCACAGGCTCCTTCCAACATGAAGTCGGTGCTGCAAGCAGGATGGCTGTTGACCGTGGCTGTTGGCAACATCATTGTGCTGATTGTGGCAGGGGCGGGCCAGTTCAGCGAGCAGGTACTGGGCAGAAAAGGAGGTTGTGCGTTCCTGTCTTCTCTGTGGGTGGTCATCATGGCGACTCTCTCAGCTGCCGTCTGGGCGAATGGGGGCCTGAAACTGCCGGACCCCCCAGCTGAGGCTGGAAATCATGCAGTTGGACAACGAAATAGACACTAACAGGGTTGGGCTAACACTTGTGGTTTATTATCAAAGGAAAGGTCTTTCCTAGCTTATGTTTCTGGCCCGTCGGGCTGTCAGAAAAATACTATATACTTGGGCATTCAAGGAAAGCTGATCACTTGAGCTTTGTGGCAGTCGCTGACCACTGTGCATCTGCCCGATGGCAGCCACCAGCCACTCTATCTTCAGTGACTATAGCTCCCTGGCGCTAAGTCAGACATTTCACTCAGAAGTTTTCATAATACAGCCGTCCCTCACAATATCACAGGGTCAGTTCCGTGAAGCGGCTATCACAATAAGGAGAGTCACCAAATTCAACCTTGCAAGTGTAGCTAGACCAGAGGATGTACACTGGTACAGATAGGAACTGGAAATACAGGGAATCCAGGGTGGATGAGCCTTACAGGACCAGTGGTGTGAGTGGCGAAACAGGGAGGGTAAAGGGAGAATGGGTAGGAAAGAGGGAACCAATTACAAGGAACTATATATGACCTCCTCCCTGGGGGACAGACAACCGAAAAGTGGGTGAAGGGAGACATAGGACAGGGCAAGATATGACAAAATACCAATTCATAAACTATCAAGGGCTCATGAGGGAGGGGGAACGGGGAGGGAGGGGAAAAATGAGGACCTAATGTTGGGGGTTTAAGTGGAGAGAAAATGTTTTGAGAATGACGAGGACAATGACTGTACAAATGCACTTAACACAATTGATGTGTGTATGGATTGGGATAAGAGTTGTATGAGCCCCTAATAAAATTATTTTTAAAAAATAATAAATAAATAAGGAGAGTCACACGGAGTTCCTGGTTTCCCAGGGCATCTACAAGTGATCCTTATACTAGACTATCATTTATTAAGTGTGTAGGAGCCCTGGTGGTGTAGTGGTTATGAGTTAGGCTGCAGTCCGCAAGGTCAGCAGTTCAAAACCACCAGCAGCTCCTTAGGGAGAAAGATACGGCTTTTTACTCCAGTAAAGTCTCAAAGTCACAGGGGCAGTTCTGCCCTGTTCTAGAGGGTCGCTGTGAGTGAGTATTGACTCGATGGTAGTGAGAGTTGTTTTGTTTTTTAATTAAGTGTGTAACAGCATTATGAAAAAGTTTGAAATATTTTGAGGATGATTGAAATGTAACCCAGAGACATGATGTGAGCACACGCTGGGAGGGGTTGGGGGTGGCACTGAGAGATTTGCTAAAGGCATGGTTGCCACAGATTTTCCATTTCTTTAAAAACAACAACAAAAACATACGCACACATTATCCTCCTGGCACAATGAAGCCAACTGCAATGAAACAAGGTATGCCAGTACCTAATGTGAGCACTATTCTAAAAATTGCTCGAAGTTTCCACCTTAGTTGAGAGGGGTCTTTGCTGGCAGGTGAACAGCCAACCCAGCTCTTCAGCATCTTGGAACTCATAGGGATGGTCTGTACTGATGCCACGTTCTCCTAAGCTCCAGGTGTTGCCAAGGAGAGGGCTGGGAGGGAGGTCCTAACAAGCCACAGTTCAGCACAGTTTTACTCCCTCAAGGATATTAGTAGACACTCTCTGGTCCCCACCCTTCCAGGGGCCAGCTATACATGTGTCCGAAGGCAGGGAGTGTTCAGAAATGTTGTTTTCCCATCTGATTGTCTTGGGCTTCTGGCCTATTGGGCTGTCAGGAACACGTGACCTGCCTACTTGGGCGTTCAAGAAACGCTGGCCCCACTGGCTCGGTGGCAGTCGCCGACCACGGTGCATCCGTGTGGTAGCGGCCACCAGCCGCTCTGCTGCTGCGGCATCTGTGAGAGTTCCCCACTGGTTTTCCATAACAAGTTAAAGTATCCTGCTGCCTGTGGAGATCGCAGGAAATATACATGAGGGACATACATGAGTATAACGTGCGGTTTGTTTGTTTTGTCTTTTCCCCCCCCTCCGTGGTGGCAACTCCCAATGCCTTTGAAGTGGGCGGAGTACATTCTGTTCGCTGCATTGCTTCTGGCCGTCTGCATCATATTTGCCATCATGGCTCGATTTTATACGTACGTCAATCCGGCCGAGATCGAAGCTCAATTTGATGAGGAGGAGGAGGAGGCGGAGGAGAAGAAGAAGAACTTTGAAAAGCATAACCAGTATGGTGTAAAGGAGCCCACCTCACAGACCCAGATGTGAAGGGCCAGAGCCCGGAGGAGGAGAGACTGGATGCAGACACACTGACTTCTGGCCCCAGCTGGTAGGACAGGCCATGGCCGTGGCCCTTGATGGGCACCATTGCAAAACGTTGCCCAAACCAAGTCAGCAGTGAGCATCAAACTTTGGAAGAGTCTTTTTTCTTTTCTTTTCTTTTCTTTTCTTTCTTTCTGTCTTTTTTAAAAAAAGAGAACTCTTATTTAAAACTCAGCCCTTTTACAGCACCGACTGTGTACTTTACATCTCACCCCCTTCCATCTCACAAAGAATAAAGTCATTGGACGGAGGTTTTTGAGAAGTCAATGGAGTGCTGTGGTGTCTGCATTGTCGCACACTTAGAAAGCATCTTGAGCGAGGCAGGGCCCCATGCTCAGAGGGAATTTACGTCGTTTCCCATGGTGGGCTTCTCTGATAACCTTCCCTTTCCAGTTTGAATCATTGGCCCCTACGTCCTTTTAAATCCTGCATAAGTCCGAAGACCATTCGGGTAAGGGCTGGTGAGATTTTTGGCGTTTCAAGGGCACCCAAAAAATTCCTGTTCTTAAAAGCAATTGTCCATGTGTTGTTAGGGAAGGTGACAGATCTTTAATAGCTGATGATAAAAGCACAGGACATTCTCATCCGCGTTTCTTCAAAAGTTGATAGAAGCATGCACGGAAGCCAACCCTGTGGGTGACACATCACGGGACGTGAGCGTCATGCTGAGGAGCTCGGTTTGCAGCTGGCCCTGCGTGTCCCAGGGTGGCACCCGTGAGTACCCGAGGGGAAGTTCAACGGTGGCTGGCGGGCTGCCAGCACATCCTGAACGGGCTTCTTTATCCCTAACAAAGCGTGTTGAAACGTGCCCCTGTGACAGCGGCTGGCTGGCTGCAGACACGTGTTCTCAGGGCAGACTTGTCTTAGTGCCATTATGAATCAGAGTCAACTCGATGGCAGGTGGGGAAGGTTGTTGACTTTTCTCTTTTCGTGTCAGTAGGGTACTTTCAAAAAAGGAGCTCAATCAAAACAGTGGCTTGCTTCCAAGGAGAGCTACTGAGCTAGTTAAACCCAGGGCAGAAAGGTCAGATCAGAAGGTGATGGTGCCTGTTGAGGGGGGATTCCAAAGAGACCATCTGGGTTTTCTCGAAGAATACATGACAATCATGGGGGGTGGGGGCGGGGTACTAGGAAGATGTTTCCAGAAAATTGCATTGGTGAAAAAAAGGACAGGAAAATCCCCATCATGACCAGGTACCTGCCCATTCTTCGAGGGTAGCAAGGGCTATCCTGGGAGAATTTCACTGGGAAACCTTACCCCATGCACCCCACAGCCCTGATCGTGCCCCCTCAGACTTCTTGTTCCCACAACTCAAAGGACACTTAAACGGAACATGATTCGCGTCCCCCGAAGATATGGAGAGAGCTGTTTTGATGTGGTGTGAATGGAAGCGCTGTATTCTCTGGGGAAGGTTAGAGAGATGGGAACTTGCCATCCGAAGTGTGCAGACATTGATGGAGGATGGCTGCACACTTGGGTATTGTAGTTTAGAAAAGTATGTCTACTATTTGTAGTTGTCCTGTCTGACCTCCCTCCTAGATTTGTATGTTTCTTTTATCTCCAGGCTCTGTGTGTGCATGCACACGCGCACCGCCTTGTATTTTTCTCAGTGTTCCCGAGAACTTATTGCTTGAATAAAAATTTTCCAAAATGTTAACACTAAATGCCTAATTCTTCCATGTGTGTTTCTCACTTTGCCATTCCCGGGTGCCAGACCCAGAATACGGTTCTCTACGATGGCTCTCTCAACCCACATTTCTTAATTGAGGCCCCCCACTCATCCATACCCCAGACACATCTCCTTTCTCTCCTGTACTCACCCCGATCCAATCAACACTGAACTTCTTGTTCCTGAAATGCATCAAGTTCTCCTCTCCAAGCCAAGAGCAGTAACAAACGTGAGCTGAGACACTGATTCCCTCCCCAGTCCCTTTTACCGAGCCACCTCTAGCTCCTCTTCATTCTCGGGAGTAGGGATCACTTCCCCAAGGAGCTACCTGCTCGCTTCTTCCCCCCACCCCATGCTGTCTCTTCTCTGAACCTGGCAGCACATCATAACACACTTGCATGGCGTGAGACTGAATACTACGTTTATCTTGTTCACATTAAGTCTCTTTGTTATGCTGGGGCTTCAAAAAAAAATTCATGGGAAAATGAAGCTAAAAGATCATTGGAACTTTTTAAAGCCCCCTCACATTTGTTAATTCCATGTGGCAGGTGTCTTTTTAAAATCAATACCCTAAACCTGTCAGGCTATTAAATCAAGGTGGAAGAGGCAGAGAACTAAACGAGTTACTGTAATACAATCAGGTTAGGATTTGACTGAATTTGAGTGAACAAATTCTACCGAGAAAAATTCAATCTAAGGGAGTCTGATCTGTGGTGAGGTGCCTTGAAATGTACAGATTATACCTTAATCAAGGCAACCATGCATTACAACAATGGGCTCTCGGTTGTCATTGCCCTTCTCTTGCCAATAAATGAAAGAAATTTGATCCTAACTTTTCTATCGGCTCCTGTGTGGCTTTCAGCAGCTTGCAGTCACATAGCTATCTGCAAGCTGTCTGGTCTTCTGTAAAGCAGAGCACTGGGCAAAGGTCTTAAAAGTGCTTTGTTTGAGGGTGGTTCGTACATAAAACCTTCAAAATCCTTGAACGAACATCTGCATGCTCCTCAGCCTACCGTGATGCCTACATCGTAATGGGCTTTGCTTAGGGAAGGGAATTATACCTCCACGATGTCACTGAAGTAGTTAGTTTATTGTGTGAACCTGGCCAATAAATGCATGTGGGGTTAATTGAAGGGCGGAAAGATAAATGGCTCGGTGAGCCTCGCCTTTCAAGTTCTCGGGTCTCTTGCTTTGTGATGGTCAGATCAGGGTGCAGCTGCCTTAGCCGATTTCCTGCTTCAGCTGGCAAGGCTCACTTCCTGCAAGACATCCCCGAGGAGAAGCCACAGTGACTTATCCCAATGCAGCCCTGGGTGCTGGAGCAGCTGTGTAGAGACCCCTGCCAGAGCTGAGATAATTACACATTCACCCACTAGGCTTTCCTCCTGCAGTGAGCATCATTGCATGTGTTTTGTGAGATGGAGGAGGACTTTGTGGATTGGTGTCAGACATATGGGTTAATGTTGGACTTGTGGGCTTGGTCAGCACTGAGTTGGGATGTTTTCTTGATGTGCACTTAACCTTTATATAAAACTCTCTCTTACACATGAGTTTCTGTGGTTTTGTTTCTCTGAAGTCCCCAGACTAACAGAGTCAGGGACCCTTAAAGGAGAATCTGAGGGTGGAGAGGGGCTGGATACTTTGCTCACCAGGTTTGAGTACTCTGAGTAAATCACCAAGATATATTTTTCTATCTGTGATGCTGTCCCCCCCAAATACTGAATGTACCCTGAGCTGCCAGGAGAACAAACACATGGGTCTAAGAAGAAATACCACCAGAACGTGCCTCATGAGGGGGAGCAGGGAGACATGTCATAGGAAAGGCCAGTGACCAGAAGAGGACACCCTGCGGGCAGAGGGGAGGGGAGGCCCTCGGTGAGGTGCATTGGCCTAGGGGCTGGAACAGAGAACGCACACATAGCAAGGAACATGAAGGTGGCACCTGCATTAGGCCGGGCTGACGAGAGAGAAATCCAGTGATACTCATCTATGGACAAGAGAGAGCCTTATATCAAGAAAGCATGCCAGCCCAGTCCAACTCTTAGTCCATGCATCCCTCTTCAGACTCCGCAGGCACATGCGATGACGCAGACTGCAGGAAGAGCACAGGCCGGCGGTGCAGAGCCGTGTGGATCCAAGGCCGGTGGACACATGGCAGGCATCTGGCAACCTTCAGGGTGGCCAGAAAGCAGGCAGGTGAAGGAGGAGCGAGAGGAAAGGGGGCTCTTCTGTCTCCCAGGGCCCTCCTTAGGAGAGGGCCACACCCCGAAGGAAGCGCCATCACGCTGGGACCTGACTGACAGGTCTGACTCCACCCTTAGCCAGGAGTGTCTAGTTGACATTACATCTCTAACCACCGCAGCAGCAGACCAGGCTCCCTGCTCCCATATACAGGGTCATCACCAGAGTTGGGGCAGACTCAAGGAACAACTACAAAGATATTACCTGACCACGTTTTCCCAACATAATGCTGACTGGCAGGACCAGCGGAGTGTTCCGGATGAGGGTCTGCACACTGCGGCTCAGGAGCCCCGTGTGCCTCTATGGGTACATACATGTGGCTCTGAAGTAAAAGTCAAAAATTGTAAAGGATTTTATTCAGATAATGGTGATTTCATTTGTGTGTGTGTGTGTTTCAAATAATTTTTAAATTATTGTGGAGGACAGGATTTACTCCGCTGTGTCAAAAGTTTGTCGACCCCTGTTCAGATATAACTTCTTTTTTGTTTGTTTCCTTTTTATTTTTTAAAAAATAATTTATTATTAATTGAAAGTTAATACATATATCATATTATTCCATAGTCAATCACATCAAGCAGAATTGTACAATTGCTACCACAACCAGTTTCCAAACATTCTTTTTCTTCCTGGACTCCTTGACATCGTCTCCCCCACCACCTCCACTGTACCCCCTCCCTCACCCCCCAAACCCTTATTCGACTTGCAGTTTCTAGAGGCTCATCAATCGTGGGTTTCATAGATTGAAACACTGAAAATCACGTAACACAACTTCAAGAGATTGACCCCAGGGACTTCACACTTCAAGATACACCCTAATAAGAACAAAGAAAAAGAAAGCAAAAATACAAAAAGGTTGCAAAGCAGATCGGGGCCCAGTGTGCATCAGAGGGGGTGATCAGCTGGCAAAGTTTTAATGACTCAAATCAGATTTCTACCTTTGGTCTTCTAGTCTTTTGATTATGTATTTATTTAAATCATCAGACTGGGGGCTCTTACAGCTCTTATCACAACCCATCCATCCATCCATTGTGTCAGGCATATGTTTACACATGTTGCCATCATCATTTTCAAAACATTTTCTTTCTACTTGAGTCCTTGGTATCAGCTCCTCATTTTCCCCCCTCCCTCACCCCCCCTGCCCTTAGTGTTTCACTCAGGTGTGATGGGATCAGATTGGACACCATTCCCGCAGTGTGTCTCCAGTGCTCTCCCCATAGCGCTGTGGGTCAGTGAGGGACATCGTGTCTCATGGTGGAGCCGGCCCTATGGTCCTCTCTGTGCATTGTCTGCTCTGAGCAGGAATATTGTCCTTGAGGTTTGGTGGACCAGGATGCATTCCACTCTCTCTCCTTCCTG